CGATAAGCAAACGGAGTATCCGTCTAAGCCCGGAGGTCGCTTGTAATGGTCAGCGTTTCGCTCTTGCATTTATGATGCGATTACGTCACCTCTACCGTGAATTATCGAAGTGGAACAGACTCGATATAATTTTAGCTCTGTTATTATTATTGTTAACGTTGCTGAAGCCAGGGAGAAAGTCATAGAACTTTACACTTTCTCTCCTTGCACCGTAATCCTGTTGTATTAACGTTTTGGTCCATGTAATGAATTCTTACATCTAGCTCTCCTCAAGGAAATGAACTTAACATGCAGTTTTCTGCCTGAGTTTTTGTTGTTATTGTGCTTTTCTCGGCGATCTTTGTAATGGAGAGGTATTGTGTTTTCTTTGCGGTAAGGACTGAATTCTTAAATATTGCCCAGACGAGCTTCCAGGGGTTTAATAGCCTCAGCTTTCTCTAATACAAAATTTCAAAATTCCGTCTTTTATGCCAATCATCACACTAACGCCTTCACTCTTACTTTATCCTTAACAGAAGGACGAGCGGGCATTGCCTGGGGACCTTCTAGCTATAAGATGCTCTTTCTCCCCCCCAGATATCGAAGTGTCTGTCACTTCTCCCCCACCAATTTCCTCCTTCTCTCTCTCTCTCTCTTTCCAGGGGTCAATCAGAAAATTATTGTAGACGGGATTACATTGGTGGTAACGGTTGCCTTGATCATAATCGCCCTGATGAAGGAGGCAGCAAGGACCTCCGAAACGTTGGTAAACTTCGGCGGTACATCACAGAAGACAAGCCATCTCTTGTAATCACCGCCGTGAGAACCTCAAATCTTACAATTTTTTTTATTATTCTGCATCGACGTGTTTCGGAAAAGAGGCAAATTTAAAAAAAAGGGATGAAGAAGAAGGTATGAGGACGCCGAGGAATGAAAATACGAAGGAAGTTATTCTTCGTTGGATTTGAACGGGCTTTTATACTAGTTAATATTACACTGATGTGCTCTTAATTTACGCTCCACGCTCAACAGAGCTTCTTAGTAAGATGAACTAGCCCTTAAATTAAGGGAGTGGCTTAGTTTTAAGAATTTGGAGACCAAGTGCTGAGGAGTTTATTTGTGCCCGAAAGACGACAAAAATACACAATGAGGAGATTTATATTTGTATTCCTAACCAAATTATCAAGACGTTTAAAGGTTTGGCGTGAAAATCTAAAAGCAAGAGTACACTTGGGAGACATAGATAGAAATGGCAGTATATTATTTAAAAGTGATCCTACTGAATGTGGTGGATGGATCTGAATCAAGGTCAAATGTTTGAGTTTTGTAAACACGGCAGTGATGTATCGGATTTTTTTTAAAAAAAAAAAACGTAGAACAGCTGAGGCTAGCTTATTTTTACCTGGAGTGGTTTTTTCAGTGTTGTTAGATGATGCATACCTCGGTACACGTCACGTGCCCATTATCGCCCTACAAGAAGCAGGAGGCCTTGATTAGGCGCCATATTGCCGCAACATCGAAGATTGCCTTTCTTCTATTGTTTTTTTTTTTAAGTTACGAATTGTTGGGTGCGCTGAAGTCTTCTTTCTGTGGGGAGAAATGCTTTAGTCACTATGTTGTAAGACCGGTTCACCTTCGGGTAACATGTGATCACGTGGTCTTACATCGTCCGATACATGCCGTAGCCCAAGATATGCAGACGGAATTTCATTTATATACAGTTGATGCTTAAATGATGACGAACTCGAAAAACATTTTCTGTCCCCTATAAATAACAATATTAAAAGAAACACGATTAATTATTTAATATTAAAACGACAAACCGGCGTTTTATTTATATAAACAAAATTAGTGACTTTAAGAATTTTGGGTAGTGTGCCCTATGTTTCGCCACGGGAAATTTCTTTCAGGACGTTAATTTGTTCCGAATTTGAGTGAGACTAATAAAATAAGTAAAGCTCTCCCCCACACACGCCGTTGAGGCGCTTGGGGGGGAGGGGAGAAGGCACAGCTCCTACTTATTCATGACCTCGGCACTAAATTCCAATTCAAAGCGGTAAAACGTGATATAATTAACATTTTTTAAAAATTACATTATGACCCGTGTGTAATGGGTGGTTGTGAAATCAGTCTTATGAAAGGCTTTGTGTGATTGTATGCAGCTGGCCTGGGATTTTTAAGACAGGCAAATGAGTGAAGGGTGAGCTGGAAGTATAGGCCTTGGGATACAAGAAATATATACAGAATTTTAATGAGAAAACCGCTTCTCAATTTTCATTCCCTTTCAATAGCTACTTTGAGTTAGGTCTTGGGGTAATGTTTCGGTGTTGAAGACGTTGAATCTTCAAGTTATGTTGCCAAATCTCACCCCGATTTTCAGTTGTATTGTGTGCCTGGTAACGCTATTTGTTAGAACTTCGGTCCCAGGTTTGATTCTCGGCCTCAGTACCGTTTATCCTGACTGAATTATTTTGCATTTTCCTCGGCCCTTCCTGGCAAATGATAATCGTAGGTACCTTAAGACAGAATAGTCCGATTCCTTCCATATCCTTTGTAATTCATTCTTCCTTAACGTGGCGGCTCTTAAAATGAACCGGGAAACTGTATTGGATGTTGAATGGACCAATCGCCGACTTTCTCTGCACATTCGGGGTGTAACTGAGAAGACCAGGTTAGAATGACAAAGCCGAAGGTTATCCACAAGGTATAAGGATTGATAATCCATTATTTAATCACGAACAAGAAACAGAAAAGACAACTCAAATTGAGACCATGTAGAAATACACATTATAACTGTTTTAAGCTTCGGGCAGTGTGAAGTTGTCCATTAAGTCTTCAGTTTGCTGCGTGGTAATGAAACAATGTGAAGTCCGGTCAGGTTGGTGACCTTGGCAAGAGATCCTGGTGACCGGACAATGAAATTGGATCAGGGGAGATTTTATCGTGAACCATAATACCGCCCCATGGGCGAGGTGCAGTCAGCTTAACTGTGCCTCGTCTATACCCGGAACCTCTCCTGCCTTTTGTACGTTCGAAGAAAAACCGTACAGAACCTATTAGGTTTACTTCAGATCATTGTTTCCTCTTAAAAGGTGAAGTTCTTCACGTGATCAATGCATTTGTTCGTGAAACAGTGGAGGACTAGCTCCTCGCATTCTTAATCTCGGCACTAGAACAGAGAATGGTTTGCTCCGGTAGCTTTTCGTATGAGGGAGTGTCCGCGTATCCGCTGGCAAAGAGAATTGTCTGTTCTCCTACTAGAAGTCAAACCACGTCCGTCCACATCGTGATAATTCACGTGTTGATTGTCATATCTTGTTCCTAGGAACGAGTTTTAGTCAAATTTGAGGTGCTTTTGGGACGATATTAGTCAGGGATCAGACAGGTCTACGACTTTATCTCGAAGTCTGAACGAGATTTTAGGAAGAAATGGAGTAAACCGATTACAGCGTAATTATTTCTTTATACGAGTAAGCTGTCCGCTGGCAAAGAGAATTGTCTGTTCTCCTACTAGAAGTCAAACCACGTCCGTCCACATCGTGATAATTCACGTGTTGATTGTCATAACTTGTTCCTAGGAACGAGTTTTAGTCAAATTTGAGGTGCTTTTGGGACGATATTAGTCAGGGATCAGACAGGTCTACGACTTTATCTCGAAGTCTGAACGAGATTTTTAGGAAGAAATGGAGTAAACCGATTACAGCGTAATTATTTCTTTATACGAGTAAGCTGATCTCATTTTAGACATTTCCCATCATATTCAAAATTCATTGCCCTTTTCTCTCTTTCATTTTCCTGTTCCAGCTTTTATTTATATCACATCTTTATCTTTTGCTCTCATTTTCTTCCTGTTTTGTGTTCTCTCCTTTCCAGACCACACGTGTTCGTGCTCTGTCTAAATGTGGACGGTCTCCAGCCCCAAGTAGCGAGCGATTACCCGGAGACATTTTCTCAGGTTCACTACAGAGTCGGCAGAACAGCTGTCTGTGCACACCGAGCGAGATAACCCGACCACAAGTAGCTGGTCACACACACACACACCTTTATTTCATCTCAGGTCGGCTTCGTTCATCCCAAGCAGCATGGAGCACGGCTGTGACCACGTTACATCAAACAAGACGCCATGTCGCAGTCATTTGCGTAGTCAATTGTCACGCCAAGGCTCGATTGCTCGGTTTTTGTGAGTGGCGTGTGAAGTACCGTGAGCTGCGGTAGTTTGTTTCTTTGTTTGTTAGCTGAGCGCCTGTACGTGGCCACCCACTTTGTAAATTTTGTTTGGAAACTTTCATAACGACAGTGCTTCTCGCTCGACTGTCACTGAGAACGTCAAACACTACCACCATATTTGTTCACGACGTTCATTTCTTTAAGAATTTTTTTTTTTTTAAAGTTTCCCACGGCGTTGTCGTCTCTTAGTTCGTCTCCTCGCTTTTTTTTTTAAAGTTTCCCACGGCGTTATCGTCTCTTCGTTCGTCTCCTCGTACGTGCCGGAATAGGGGAATTCTGCTCACCGCAGCGCCATGTTTCGTCGTCATGCCCCGGCTTCTTCACGGATTCAGTATATTCGGTAATTTGGTTTCATGTAGGGCTGAAGTTTACGTGGAATGAATAAATTAATAAATAAACGAAGCACGCGTGGGGCAAATGGGACATGAACGCTATCTTGTATCTTCATCCAGCTGATATCCAGTACACACACACCTTCCAGAATGTTTTCTGACCATAATTTTTAATGAATTCCTCGTCTATCTGGTGCGTGGTATGTGCTCCGTCGTCCGTCGTGTCGTCTTTCGTCTGATAAACCTCACGATGAAGCTCATCACTGTGAAGTTTTCTCCGTTCTTCTTATAATGCCATCTGCTACTCAGGTCCAAATATTATCTTCAGAACTGTGTTCCCAAACATGTATCTAGTTATGAATGTTTCGGAGACGTTTACTGACTCCATCTTTAGGGCAGAATGTTCTGTCCTCGTTGTGAATGACCTGATTTTACACCGGAATTATTGTTGTCTTTTTCTAGAGGAAAGTACGCGACGGTGAGGCGCTGCAGACACCGGTCCAGTGGTCAGCGGTTCGCAGCCAAGTTTCTGCGCAAACGACGACGCTCGGCGGACTTGCGGCCCGAGATTCTGCACGAGGTGGCAGTCCTCGACGCCTGTGCCTCGTCCACCCGCATTGTACGCCTGCACCAGGTCTTCGAATCCGCTCACGAGATGATCCTTCTGCTCGAGCTGTGAGTTCCACGACTTTTATTCAAATCCACCAAAAAGTTCTGCCAACTTCCGTGCCAATTCTCGAGGTCCACAAACACCGAACTCCGTGGAAGAAACAAAAGACTTGAGCGTTTATGTTTGTACTTTCTGTTTCCAGCGCCTCTGGAGGCGAGCTGCAGATGCTATTGGATAAAGACGAAGTGCCTGAGGAGAGACAAGTGAAGAGGTTGATGCGTCAGATACTGGACGGTCTCATATACCTCCACTCTATCAACGTGGCACACCTGGACATTAAGGTAAGATGGGCTTTATTAGTTTCGGAAATCGAATGGAAATTTTTCTGTCGATCAAACTCGTGGGAATATAGTGCCCTCATGAAATCATCCAACCTCATCACAGACACTTATCTTTAAATGAATGACACTTAACGCAAAATGGAGAATTTGTTGTAGTGCAGGGGTTCTCATCCTTTTTCGCTGGCGTAACACTAATTCTAATTTAACACATTAAATGTACCACTAACAAAATGCGTTCAGAAAAAACTTATTTGTGTTAATAGTATCTTTTAATTTTCTTACTTACTTCAACAGTGGCTCTCGTACCACCAATGGTACGCGTACCATAGGTTGAGAAACGCTGTTGTAGTGGATAAAGGGAGCACGCAATGTGGGGGAATCTGTTGGTGCTTGTTGCGGCAATAACATAAAGAAGTATGAGATGCACAGGACATGTAGCACGAATTTTGGTGCAGTGCGTATAACACGTCTTAACCAATTGAATTCAGCCCAAGTATTCAACCTAATTTATTCTCTTTAGGATAGGGTTCGCTGTTGGGCTCATGTGGGCACTTTAATGAACCCTCACGTGTGCCATAATAGGCAGGCAGTTCGTTGACCAGCTGAGCAACTGTTACGTTTACAAGAAGGACTCTCGTTGAGTGAATTTAGTAATGGATTAAATAAAACATTAATTTATCCGTTTGTTAGCTTTTTAAGCAGTAAAATGTATGATTTTGTAGTGCAGTGTCTTGGGTGTTGATCAGATCTGTCAGCGGTGGGCTTCGTAACAAACACCAAGGCCAATTAACAGATGCAGAATACTGATGGTCATTTAAAAATCTTGTGTGCTTAATAGCGGAGTTCGCTTTATTATTAATGTTATGTCCATATTTCTTCTATGCCTTTCAAGGTTAACTGCGTTTTCATATGGCGAGATGTCTCTTTTAGATGAACGCAGTGGAAGTTTTAAGGCCTGTTCTCTGTCCTTCACAGATTTAAAGCAAACTGAGAAATGCATATTCAGTAATTTCATGTGTGATATTTGTACGCACGCGTG